TCTAAAATTTTAATATGTGTAAAAAAAAGTAAAACTCCAAAAGCAGTTTACCAGAAAAATAATCCCACCCGTAAATTAAATTCTTAATTATACAACTACAAAATACTTAGGTGTATTCACAATTATATTTCATAATAACCTACTAATTATTACTCAAAACAATAGGTAGGCGAAAGGAAACTTAATAATCGTTAAAAACAGCCTTTAAAAGCCTTGATGTTAGTGAACACTACGTAGACTATCATAAAATTTAAACAAAATTTACATGCGCAATCATATCTTTAATTGAACATTCACCAATTTTTGAAAATCAGACATCGTTAAGTAATTTTTTAAGCATTGTCTAATTTTTCAATTTTTTATCATATAGTAAGATAATAATATAAGAAAATGGTAAAAACTACCAATTACTGTCGTTCTATCATGATTTATATTGATTATTTCATATTATTAAAAACCTAAATTATGGATTACTTTTATTGATATAGTGTAATTGATGAAATTTAATTTTTCAATTATCGAATTATAGAAATTGTTCGATTATGTCTATCACTATAATGCAGTACTACAATTGATTTTATGTAATAATTACAATAACAATTATTGTTGATCATCGATTTATTGCGACGTCGGATTATTTTCGATATTGTGAATAAATATCGAAACGATATCCATGTCCAAAAAAATATAGACCCCTTCTAGTAAGGATGTGTTGCTATTTGTGATTTACTTTGAGAAACACTGAATTCATTATCATTCTACATTTGTCAACTTATCCCACTTTACCATATATTTATTGGTATTCTATTTAATTTGTTTCATACTTACACTAGATAACTTTTTAGGCTCCTTTACATGAAGTCCTCCAATTTCAACTGTTCCGGGTAGATAAGGCCTCGTTAGGCCAACTGTGTAATGAGCATTTATTAAAGTCAATGAAATATTATGTAACATATCTTCCAATGAAGGTCTTTGTTCCCAACCCGAGTATCTGAAGTATGCATTCATAATTTTTTTATGCTCAGAAAGATTGTAATAGTCAGTAAAAAAGAGTTGTATAATTCCGACTAATGTGTTTTTTAACTTATCCATGAACGACATTTTGTCAGTTGTCCTAATTCTAGGGTCAGGAATATAAGAGTAAGTGTAAGGTTCGCCAATCCATTTGCTATTGACTTGCCATAACATAACAACGTTCAACATAATCACTGGTGCGTTGTATTTGTGTCCAAGAGTAACACAATATGTTTGTCCAAATGAAAATATAAAAACAAGATCAAATTTAGAATTATCATACTGAATGAAATTTTGAATAACATTAACAGGGAGAGTGGCATGTGCTAAAGAATTTTGTAAATTACCCACATTTAATAATATTTCAATAAAATTTTCGTTTGCCATTTTTATAGGGTCTAAACCTAAAAAACAAATAAAAATAAATAGATTACTTTATATTGGTATTCTACTGGTAATTGTTTAAGTTTACATAATTATTTTGTATTGATAAGTACATATAAATACTCATTGAAAATTATGTAAAATTTATTTATAGAGATGAATATCCTGATACGTAGATAGGAATAAGAGACATAACTTTAGACTTACTAGTTATAACTAGAGGCCCGATTTATATGCATTTATAAATTTTATTGGAGCCACTTTAAAAGAAACAAAGTTTGTATACAATGTGTTATAGAAATAAATCGTAGCGCAGAAATACTTTTCGTTAGAGGG